ACATTATAGATTACCAACAGAGTACACTTCAGAGTACCAGTACTATAAACCCTTGGGACTTGGTGGCTGACTGGGAGCTACAGCTTGCTGCCACTGCCTGGCATCACAAGAGATCATCATACTGCATATTGCTAGCCTTGAAAAAGATCAATAAATATTTCCCTTACACAGCCCTCTTCTCTAGGACTTGCATCATGACTGAGAATACACAGATGCCAAATCTATGAACCAAATTACATCCATAGTTCCCCTCCCTTTTCAGATCCCTGCCTAAAGGCAAGATTCTAGAGTCTCTGGAACCCAAAGCTGACATAGTTTCCCCTGGCAAAGAAGATTACTGGGGGGTCTTCAAGAACTCATGCTGCATAGAAAAACCTAGGCTACTCATCAAATGAAAGGATTGGGGCTACTTTGGTCTTTTAATAAAGCAGTGCTTATAAGACTGAAAGCTTTCCTTCCTAAGATCAGGAACAAATGGGAATTCCGTTAAATGAGAATTCACTGCTTCTATTCAATATTGAACTGGAACTTCTAGGCAAGAAACAGAAAGAAAAGTCATCCAAATTAGAAAAGAAGTGAAGCTATTTCTGTTATAAGTGACATGATCATATATATATATATATATATATATATATATATATATATATACATACATACATATATCAAATCCTAAAGAATGATCATATATATACATGATATGTATAAAACAATCCTAAAGAATTATCATATGTATGTATGTATGTATGTATACATATGAAATCCTGAAGAATGCACACAAGAAAAGCTGTTGAACCTAAGCCAGATTCAATGGCACAAATCTGTCATCCTAGCACTTAGGATAGTGAGGCAAGAGAATCACTTCTATCTAGGAGTTTAGGACTAGCCTGAGAAACATAGTAGGACTCTATCTCTTGAAGAAACAGAAACAGAAAGGAAAGAAACCCAAGAATGCAAGCAGAAAAAAACTGTTATAACTTATATCTAAATAAATAAAAAGACATTCTGTGTTCATAGATTGCAAGTCTTAATATTGTTGAGCTGTCAAGACACCCCAATGCAATCTATAGATTGAATACCACCAAAATCCCAATCATCTTTATTTTGGCAGAAACAGAAAACTTGCCAATTGTATGGAATCTCAAAAGGCCCTAAATTGCCAAAACAACCTGCAGAAACAATGAAGTTGTAAGTCCTGATGTAAAACATATTGTAAACCATAGCAATCAGCACATTTCCATTACTCCAGAACATTTTTGCAACCATCATCAGTCAGTTCTTCTCCCCATTGTAGTCCTAGGTAACTAATGATTCCCTGTCTGTCATTATTGTTCTGCCTTGTCTAGAATTTTATATTAACCTAGTTATATAGTGTGTTGTCATCTGTGCCTGGTTTCTTTCACCAGTATGATGTTTCCAAGATTTATTTATATCATTGCATACATTTGTAGTTAATCTCTTGTCAATAGTATTCTATTACATAGATACATTACAATCTGATCAATTCTCTAGTTGATGGAAATTTGGATTACTTCCAAGATCTATTTGTTTCTGTTGGGCATAACAGTTTAATTCTGCTGTGTCCCGGCTGTGTCCAGGTCTAGATTCTTTTTAATTTATCCGATTTGCAAACTAACTGGAATTCTTGAATCTGTGAACTGGTGATTTTCACTAGTTGTGGACAAATATCTTTTCAGATGTTGCCTCTGTTCCTTTCTTTGTTCCTTTCCAGAACTTCTAATGCTTGTTAGATGATCTTTTATCCTGTATTTCTCTATAGCTTTCTTTCATTTTATCCTTTTGCCTTTCTATCCTGCATTCCAGATATATTTTTAGGTGATTTCGTTTTCTGAAACAATACCTTACTATATTTCCCAGGCTGGCCTCAAATTTACAATCTAACCTCTGTCTCCCAAGTGCCAACATACCCAACTAGATAATTTCTTTATATAATTTTTCAATAGAAAACTTTGTCTTCTGGGCCTGGTTCTAATATTTCTAAATCCTTTAGTAGGTATATAAATGAAAGATCACATTCCATATATACATTGAAAAGATAGTAATCAAGAAAATAAAGAATTAAATATATTCCATCCTCTTATCTTGAGAAAAATCATGTTATAATTTAGATACCTAGAGCTCTGCTCTATAATAGAGAGGCACATTGACAGCTAATTACTAACTGCTACCTCCAGGCTTCTCTTTCTATACCACACTGGAAGAGGCATTGAGCATAGATAGTCATCTAATCCAAATTCCACTCCAGCTCTCATAAGAGCAATTTCTTGACTATACCCATGAGGGCATAGACAACTTTCAGGATAATTGTAGAGAACAAGTCTATGCAAGGAACTATAGGCATATTTTGGGCTATATGAGCTGGGAACTTCAGGGTTTTCTGATGCCAGGATTGTGATCTAGAAGGAGGGTTTACAGAGTGCATATAACCAACTGTTTTAGCTATGCAAACTCAGTGACTAGATGAGGGCCAGAGCAGACTTCAAAGTCCAGCACCAGAAATTGAGTCCCTCTTGCTGGGCATAAGAGTTATATTACTTTCTTTAGCATGTTATCTGTTGTTTGTAATTTCATTTATGATATTAATTTCCAGAAGTTGGTTCTTTTTCAAATCCAATGCTCCCTTTATTTCTATCAACAAGTTAGTCCTATTTATATTTCTGATAATTTCCAAACTCAAATCTGTACTTTAACCATAGTTTTTCTTTGACAATGCCTTCCTGAATCTTTCTTGCCTGGTTTTAACTTCAACTCAACTTTCCAGAACTTAAGACTCAGCTCAGGGGTTACCTCTTACTGAAAGTTTTCCTTTCCGAGGTGTTTCTGTTGCTTCCTTACTTAATCTTACCATAATACTTAAACTGAGAACCCTGCCTTTGTCCCTTTTGGAAGCTCTTAGATACAACCTGTACCACCATTCTTGGCACATGGTGAGCAACTAATAATTTGTGTGTGTGTTCGTGTGTGGGGGTGCATGTGCGTGCGTGTGCGTGTGCTTTTGCTTCGGACCTGGGTAACTCCGGCCTGCACTCTGACCCTGACCTTTTGTGCTCAAAGCTAGCTTTCTACCACTTGAGCCACAGCTCCACTTCTGGCTTTTTGGTAGAAATGAGAGTTTCATGAACTTTCCTACCTGGGCCAGGATTCTCAGTCCTCAGACTCCTAAATAGCGAGGATTACAGGTGTGAGCCACCAGCACCCAGTGTTCACAACCTTTCAAGTGAATAAAATCTAATGATCAGGAAATAAGGAAACCAAATGTGTACAGTTATAAAGCTCTGTGAAACTGAGTTATGGAGGGAAGTCTTAACATTGGAAGTTGTCTTTCTCAAATGTAATTTTGTAATAACCCGTGGGGCCCGACCGTCTGCGTGGCCCCTGGTCCGGCCTGCTGGAGGGAGTGGGCATCAAGAGGAGAGCCTCACCGCTCCACTGACTGGCGTCACCGCCCCACGGGGCGCCGCCGGAGGGGCGTGCCGCTGAAAGGGGCGGGGCATGCTGCTGGAGGGGTGGAGCGCCGAGCCCCACATGGTGAGCTGTCAGGAAGTGATTGGACAGTGGGCAGCTTGGGGGAGGAGCATAAATGGCAGTTGGAAAACCGTTAGAAGGACCGTTAGGAATAAGCTAGGAATTAGCGCGGAGGAAGGGGAGGAGTTGGAGTGGAGGAGAGACGGCAGGAGGGGACAGCTGGCGGGAGCAGGGCAGGCCTGTGGAGGCCAGGGCAGGCCTCGGGAGGTCATTTGGAGCCTCCTATGGCTCGGAGGTGTGGCGGTGGAGGCTGTCTGGGTGCTGGGATCTAGCCGGGACGCTTGCTGTGTAGGTAGTGTGAATGGACCTCTCTGGTCCACCCGTCACTGCCTGCCCGGGGCTGTCTCCTCTCCCAGGCCACAAGTACTTCTGAGGCATGCAGTTGACAGGCGGGCGAGAAGGAGAAGGGAGAGACGGCAACGTGTAGCTCCTCAGTATTCCAGGCTGGCGACACAAAATAATGCTTGGAGTCATTCAAGAAGCTTCCAACCATGTGTATCAAGCCATGTGCCTCAAGAACTTGCTTTCTTCACATACTAAAATCTGACAAGTGTAGAAATGTTTTTTTCCTTCCTCCCTTCCTTCTCTCTCTCCCTCCTCTTCTTGTCTCTTTTCTTTGTGCCACTCCTGGGCTTGATCTCAGGGCCTGGGCTCTACCCCTTGAGCTACAGCTCCATTTCTGGCTTTTTGGTAGTTAATTGGAGATGAGAGTCTCACAGATTTTCTGGCTTCCACCTGTGACCCTCAGATCTCAGCCTCCTGAGTAGCGAGGATGACAGGCGTGATACACGACACCCAGCTAAGTGTGGAAATCATTCTTTGTTCAATTCCAACAGTAGTAAAATGGCTCTTACCCAAACTCTTGAGAGAAGTCTGAACTGCCACATACTGCAACAACACAACTAGAGAAGATTTACCACAGCAACTAGCATGTTTTTATTTAGAGTTTGCTTCTGATGCCTCAATAAGCACCCCCCCCCAAAAAAAAGTGTTCTAATCACACAGATTTCAGGTTCGTCACAGAAAATCATTCTCCTTAAAATGCAGCCAATGTGAGGTCAAACGTTGTGAAATACAACCACATACAATGTGAACACTGTCCAATGGAAAGAATACAATGAAGAGGACGGCTGGAAGCTTCTCGTTGAACTCTTGAAGGCCTCATGATGGTAACGCTAAGGACGAGAATACACTACATATCCCAGCATACCTTGCGAAAAGCAATGACTCCCCCCCCCCAAACTCCCAGAGTGCGCTGCTGCGCGCAGGGATGTTTGCCTGGTTGCTGGGGCTTGTAGTTCTTCCGTGCGAGCTCAGTTTGAAGGGGCGGCTGCGGTACGTGCTGGGCTCAGGCTCGGGGTGTAACGCGTCCTTTTCCCCAGCTGACGGCAGAGACTTGGCGGCACCCTCCACTCCCCAGCAGGTGGGATTTCTGGAGTGTGTTTCCCCCTCCCCTCTACCAACTTCGGCTCCACGAGCCCTTGTTTCTGAGAGCGACCTCGTCGTGGTGAGGTGGTTTGTCCCTCAGCTCTCGCCGTAGCGGCCGCCGCCCATCCCTCTTTGTGTGCTCGGGGAAGCCGCCGAGCCGGTGGTGACCACAGTTGGAGTTGGGGCTCCGGCGGGGTGCGGTTCCGAGAGGCTGCCGGCGTGAGAACACTCCCCACCCAGCCACCTGACAGGTGGGTTGACCGTTCCTTCCCGAGCCGCCGAGGCCTCCGGGCCCGGCGTGGGCCCGCGGGGGGCGCCGGGCCGTCGGCGCTGACAGCCGGCGCGGCGTCGGAAGGAGCGGCCCGGGGAGCTGGCGGGCGCTGGGAGGCCGGGGAAGCCGCGCCAGGGCCGCGGACCCCGGGGGCAGCCGCGCGCCCCCGCCCGGCCCCGCCCCGGCGCCCCGCTCCCCGCTCCCCCGCCCGGCGCCCCGCTCCGGACCGCGCCCTCTCGGCTCCTTCCTGTGGGACGTCCTGTGCCATCTTAGGAATAAAGGTCGTGGCCGCGTCGGTGGGCCGTAGTTCCCTTCGTCCCACGCGAGGAGCTCGTGGCGCAAAATCCAGGAGGGTTTGTCTCCTCCCGCGTTTTATAGAAATAACCACGTCAGTGGCGGAGCGGAGGCCCCGGGTCCCCTTCCTTTTGAAGATGGATGGGAAGGCCACGAACTCCCGACTGTCTGGCATGACCTGCCGAACAGGACAGCTTGCCTAGCCTTGCATAGAGTATGGACGTTCTCCACAATACAGGGTGAAACTTCGTAGAGGTGTCGATCGGCCGGAGTAGGAAACAAGTTCTCATGAAGTTCCTCTCTTTTTTTTTTTTTCCTTCAAATCACTCCTGGTTGAGGGATGTCCTCTGGGAACTCGTTCTGTGCTCTTGGAAAGTCAACTCGCATATCCATCTTTACGGAGTATTGCAGTATCTTTATTTTTTTGTCGGTCGTGGGGCCTGAACTCTGCCCCTCAGCTCTTCAGCTCAAGTCTAGCGCTCTGCCACTTGAGCCGCAGTGCCACTCCCGGCTTTCTCTGCTTATGTGATGCTGAGGAATCGAACCCAGGGCCTCATGCATGCGAGGCAAGCATTCTACCACTGAGCCACCTTCCCAGCCCGAATAATTGTGCTAACACCTTCTAAATACAGTTTTCCAGAAACTATTCTTCCAGTTTTCTTGAACTAAAGCACTTAATATTTAAAACGTTGACAGAGATTGATCACTCCATATTAAACCAGTAATGTAGTGGTTACAAATTTCAGGCTCCTAGTTTGTTCATCCCCTAAATTATTTTTCCAGTTGGCCGGGCGCCCGTGCTTCACGCCTGTACTCCTGGCCACACCGGAGACTGACATCTGAGGGTAGCAGTTCAAAGCTAGCCTGTTCAGAAAAGTGCCTGTGAGACTCATATCTTCAATTAACCACTGAAAACCGGAAGTGGAGCTGTGGCGCAAACTGGTAGAGTGTTAGCTCCGAGAAAAAGAGCTCAGGGACAGTGCCCAGGCCCCTGAGTTCAAGTCTCACCCCCCCCCCCCCCACAAAACTTCTAGTTTATTAGTGCTTCCTACAATAGAAGATGAAATTGTGCTTATGTAGTTGTCTTTCCGAAGTTCTTGTTTGTAACGCTGTCTACCTTTCCCATGATTCCATTTAGCCAGTATCATTTTAATTTTAATATCATTTTGGTAGATACTGTGAAAGAAACTAAAATATAGTCCCTAATTTCAAATAAATTATAATCGAATATGTAAATATTTCAGGTGCATTTACAAATAATTGTACTAAAAGTGCAATAAAAAGCCAAGATGTTATTGTAGAAAAATACAAGTCACTCCACTTGATTATTAATGATGATAGTTTCTCTTTTGCTTCTCTTTAATATTAACATGGCCATGGCACTTTCAGAGTTTATAGGAATTTTTTTTTTGCTGGTTTCTAGGACTGAATGCAAAACTCTGTTAATGAGTTTTGATCTGTATTGCATCGCTTCAGACTTAAGCTTTGTAATTTCCAGCCATGTCTTGTGTTTAAACACTAGTTTTGGCCTTCATCTCCAGTGCCTTAATATATTGTCATAGATAAACATGCAGAATCAGAAAACTTGACAAAATGGATGGGGTTGGGATAGATGGGCCAGGAAGGGTATGATGGAAAGGGTAACACTGATTAAAATGCTTTGTGCATCAGCTAGCATTGAAGTACCTGGGCCTCTTCTTTTTTAAATTTTTCTTGGTACTGGAATTGAACTCAAGGCTCACTCTTGCTAAGTAATTGCTCTGCCACTTGAGCCACTTCTCTAATCCCTACATAGTTGTTTTATTGAAGTACTAACTTTTTTAAGTATGCTGCTTTTGCCAATGTAATGATTATTGTAAATGATTATGTTTCTTAAGATCATAAACATGTCGGACAAAAGTGAATTAAAGGCCGAGTTGGAACGGAAGAAGCAGCGATTGGCCCAAATTAGAGAGGAAAAGAAGAGAAAAGAAGAAGAAAGGAAGAAAAAGGAAGTATGTTGATTTTTTAAAAATAAACTCAATATAAAATAAGTGAATTATAATTTTAAGTACTTTTTCCTGTGTGTAATAATTTCAAAATAGTTAAAAATACGGTGCTGGTTACTGCAAATATTACACTATAAATGAATCTTTAAAGAAATGAAATATGTAAGAATGGCAAGTGTAAAATCTGATTTTTTTTCTTATTAAGTGAAACTTTCATATAGATTGCTTCATTTCTAATATTTGATTTATAGAACTTTGGTTTAACATAAGTAAATTAAATCTATTTTCTATACCAAAGTAAAGGATATAATATAGCTCATAAAACAGAATGTATGAGTTGGGCAAGGGTGGCTCACACCTGTAATCCTAGTTCAGATCTCAGGAGGCTGAGACCTGAAGATCGAAGTTCAAAGCCAGCCCGGGCAGGAAAGTCCGTGAGACTCTTATCTCCAATAAACCACTATAAAACTTGAAGTGGTGCTGTGGCTCAAGTGGTAGAGCACCTGTCTTAAGCTGAAGAGCACAAGGACAGCGCCCAAGCCCAGAGTTTAAGCCCGATGACTGACCAAAAAAAAAAAAAAATAGGATGTATGACTTAATTTGGACTCTGTGTTTATTTATCTGAATAGTCTATTAGTCTGATCTGCCAATTTGTCAGAATGGATAATATTAATGACAAACTGAACTATATAATAATCTATTTGATTAGAGGATCTGTATTTACCTCTTTTATTATGAATCACTGACATATTTACAAATTGAGTAGGTTTGACACTCTCATAAAAGTGAACGAGGTACTTCTGTATTTGGACTTTTGCTATCACACGTCATCCTGTATAATATATATACATTGGCCCAATGCTGGATATTTTTTACTTGTATTGAAATAAAATTATTCCTATGGAAATTTTAAACATATTTGTTATATTTTTGCCATAGATATATTTCAAATGGCTAATATAAGATAGTTTGTCCTAAATGTGTCTTTTAGTTCCCTATCTGTGAATTATAGCCTAAATTATAACTAAGACTATTAGAACTAAGACCTAAGAGAAAAATCAGAAAAATCAAGGTCATAATTTATGTATATCACTGCTATGATGCTGAGAAGACTTATAATTAAAGACCTTGCTTTTTATAATATTATGAGCCTTTCTGTGATTACAAGAGTGTTAAAGCTTTGCATTAGGTATTTAACTAAAAGGTGATTGGTAGGAACATGATTCAGATTGGCAAAGCTGTTCCAAATAGTACCTATAACCTCAACAATGCAGCAACTGGCCCAAATTAGAGTGGAAAAGAAGAGAAAAGAAGAAAGGAAGAAAAAGGAAATATATTGATTTAAAAAGTAAACTCTGGGGCTGGGAAGGTGGCTCAGTGGTAGAGCGCTTGCCTTGCATGCATGAGGCCCTGGGTTCGATCCTCAGCACCACATAAGCAAAAAGAAAAATTGTGGCTCAAGTGGTAGAGTGCTAGCCTTGAGCTGAAGAGCTGAGGGACAGCGCCCAGGCCCAAATTTCAGGCCCCACAATCAGGCCCCCCCCCCCCAAAAAAAAAAAAAAAAGTATATCAAATAAGTAAATTTCTATTTTAAGTCCTTTACCTGTGTGTAATAATTTCAAAATAATTAAATATTTGATTTTTCTGTTATACAGGATAATGTGTGATAAATACAAATTCTTTCCCTTTCCTTTTCCCCTTTCACTTTTCCCTTTTGTTCTTTCCTCTCGTTCCCCTTCCCTTTCCCTTTCCTCTTCCCCTTTTGACAGTATTGGGGTTTGAACTCAGAGCCTTGATTTCTCACTGGGCTTTCTTGCTCATAGCCTGTACTCTATTTGAACCATTATTCCAGACTGGCTTCACTGATAAGAGATGGAATCTGGCAAACTTTTCTGCCTTCTGAGTAGCTACAATTACAGATGTAAGCTGCTGGTGCCTGGTTTGATTTTTGTTTTCTAAGTATGGCCATAAAATAACCTCTCAACGATATCGTTTGAGTGACTTATGTCTAACTTAAAGTTTATAAACCACTATAAAGGATAATTCAACGATACTAAATTGTAGCTCTACAACTGGGCACTGGTAGCTCACTCACTCTGTAATCCTAGCTACTCAGGAAGCTGAGATAAAGATTGCAGTTTAAAGATAGCCTGGGCAGGAAAGTTGGTGAATTTCTTAAGGTTAATTAACCACCAAAAATCCAGAAGTGGAGCTGAGGCTCAAGTAGTAGAGAAAGCAAAAGCCTCAAACAAAAAGCTCAGGGACAGTACCCAGTCCCTGAGTTCAAGTTCCAGGACCAGCAAAAGTAAAATAAACTACTATATCATGTATACAGTGAAGTCAGCTTGGTAACATAGCTGTTTACTATCTTTTTTTTTTTTTTGTCAGTCATGGGGTTTGAACTCTGGACTTCGGCACTATCCCTACGCTTTTCAGCTCAAGGCGAGCGCTCTGTCACTTGAGCCACAGCACCATTTCTGGGTTTCTAGTGGAAATAAGAGTTTATTGGAGATAAGAGTCTCACGGACTTTCCTGCCCAGGCTGGCTTTGAACCGTGATCCTCAGATCTCAGCCTCCTGAATATTAGGATTACAGGTGTGAACCACCAGCACCCGGCCTGTTTGCTTGTTGAAATTTTCTATGAATTTAAGTTACAGTGATATTGTGGATTAGTACAGCTAACCAAATTCATCCATTATATGAGTATTTAATTGTCTAGTTGACATCACTGGAGATAAATATATGTATCTGTTCCTTGAAAGATCAAACTTACTTGAGATGTTTTGAAAAATCTGAGTGGTAAGGTTTATCCAGGTTAGCTAAAGTCTTTGCTGTAAATGGCTAAAATAAAAGTGGGCAAAATTTTTCATAACAAAAATGTTTTGTACTATGCAAAAGTTTTAGTTTTAACCAATCTCAGCCTTCCATTTTGTTGGTAAAATAAGACCTGAAAGCTGAGTATAGTAAAATGTGCTTATAATCCCAGCTGCTGTGGAGGATGAGGCTGGAAGTTCTCTCTCTCTCTTTTTTTTCCCCCCTGGTCTTTTTATTTTTTGTGGCTAGTTGAAGAATAGAGTCTCATGGACTTTTCTGTTTGTGCTGGCTTCAAACTCTGATCCTCAGATCTCAGCCTTCTGAGAAGCTAGGATCACAGGCATGAGCCACGTGGCACCCAGGTTGGGGGGGGGGGTGTGGTCTCTTAAACTCAGAAAATTGACACAAGCCTGGGCAACATAGCAAGATCTTGTCTCTTTTTTTTTGAGGGGGGGGTCTGGTCGTGGGGCCTGAACTCTGGGCTTAGGCGCTATCCCTCAGCTCTTCAGCTCAAGGCTAGTGCTCTACCACTTGAGCCACAGCGCCACTTTCGGCTTTTTTCTTTTTGCTTATGAGTTGCGAGGAATCGAACCCAGAGCCTCATGCATGCAAGGCAAGTGCTCTACCACTGAGCCACCTTCCCAGCCCCAAGATCTTTTCTCTTAAGTTAAAAAAATTAAATACAATATGACCATACTTACTGGGTTTTTGTTTGCTTTTGTGCTGGTACTAGGGCTTAAATTTAGGACTTTGTGTTCTTGCTTGGCTTTTCCATTCAAGGATAGTGTACTATCAGTTGAGCCATGCATCCATTTCTGGTTTTTTTTTGCTCACTAACTGGAGATAAGAGTTTCTGGGGTTGTCTGCCAGGGCTAGCTTCAAACCACGATTCCCAGATCTCAGCCTCCAGAATGTTAGTATTATCCTGTGCCTGCCTGCCTCTGCATGGTCCCTTGGGATGGTAATGAAGGCTTCTTACACTGAGTAGTTAGTATTACATGTAGGAGCTACCAGAGCCTAAGACCTGTACTTTTAAACAATTGAAATAAAAATCTTAATCTAGAAGAATTTCTAATAAACATTCTCTTTTTTTTTGGGTCCGGTCATGGGTCCTGAACTCTGGGCCTGGGCACTGTCTCTCAGCTCTTCAGCTCAAGGCTAGCGCTCTACCACTTGAGCCACAGCGCCACTTCTGACTTTTTTCTTTTTGCTTATGTGGTGCTGAGGAATTGAACCCAGGGCCTCAGGCATGCAAGGCAAGCGCTCTACCACTGAGCCACCTTCCCAGCCCCCTGATAAACATTCTGTATATAAAGTTGTACAAATTCAGTGAAGATTTTACATAGGAGCTTTTTTTCAACAAATCAAATTGTCCATTTAAGTGTTGTGACATTGATAGCTAAGCATTTTTATTGTAAAGAATAAAGGATTTTGTAATCTTTTCACACGTTTTATCTAAGCTTTTGTCCACTGAAGGTGGATAGGCTTTCTACTGTCCTGTCAGTGGTCATTAATTTAAAATTTCAATTCTCTTCAGAGAATTAAAACTTAACTTATAAATTTACCTGTCTGGAAAACTTGTGGAAAACTCCTTCATTATACATAAACATGACTAATAAGAATAACTTACACTTAGTCTGTGTTAAAAACTAATTTTGCCCCCTAAAAGTATACCATATTATTTAAAAAATATATTTTTGCAAATAGAAATGTTTTATATCATATGTAAACTTGAGGTTTTATCTCAAAATTTTTAGACTGATGAGAAGAAGGAAGCTGTTGCTCCTGTGCAAGAAGAATCAGATCTTGAAAAAAAGAGAAGAGAAGCTGAAGCATTGCTTCAAAGCATGGGGCTAACGCCAGAATCCCCCATTGGTAAGAGTATATCCGTTTATGAGAGATAGGCATATATTCTGTTCAAATCAGATATAGCTGAGGTGAGTGAGTTGACTTGATAGATTTTTGTATATTTCTTTGTGTTTTAAGAATTATTTATTTGTAATTGTCTTTGCAGATGTGCTAGAATTATTTTATTAGTTTACGAGTTGCATGATTAAGTATATTCCCTAACATATTAAACCACCAGCTGACTTTTGTTATTAAACCAATAATTTCTTTTAACAAATATTTATTGAGTAAGTTTTGTGTGCTATGCTGTGTTTAAGCTCAAAGATATTTTCTGATCTTAGTTGCACATACGTTTCGTGGGGTAAAGAGAGATGTAACATATCAAAGTCCTATCATCAGAGCTCGAAAGTGAAGGAATAAGAGGAGAAACTTAAAGTGTTCTACTATCAGTACTAGTAAGGGAGCTAATATTGGTAGCTATTATTCTCTTTTTGAGGCATTTACTTCAATTGCTGTACTAGACCAAGTGGCTGACATACAAGAGATACTAAAGTCAGTCTAGTTATATATCAAAAAGCGTTTAATACTTACTTAAATAAACTAGATCTGTATTGGATGCAGTTAATGTAGTATATATTTTAGTTTAACACAACCACTGTCTTTTAAAGATATACATTTTTGGGGTTAATTTGTAGGCTAATTCATTTAGTCTGGGAGACATGCACCAAGGATAGTAATATTATATGTCTGTTGTGTAGCTACCACATAGCTGTTGGTATTTTAGATATTTCTAAAAGTTATCCAGAGGAAAAAGCAGATTATTCTTTTAGTCTGCTTGGTTATTACTTTTTTTGTTTCTTTTTTTTTTTTTCTGTTGTGGGGCTTGAACTCTGGGCCCAGGCACTATCCCTCAGTTCTTCAGCTCAAGGCTAACACTCTACCTCTTGAGCCACGGTGCCACTTCGGTTTTCTGGTGGTCTATTGGAGATAAGAGTCTCATGGACTTTCCTGCCTGGGCTGGCTTTGGACTATGATCCTCAAATCTCAGCTTTGTGAGTAGCTAGTTATAGGCGTGAGCCACTGATGCCTGGTTGTTGTTACTTCTTCTCACTTGCATTGCTTTTTTTTATTGAACACTGAAGTACCTTAGTTTTTTATTTATTTATTTTTTACTGTCCTAGTATGGGGCTTGAACTCAGGGCCTAAGCACTGCCCTTGTTAAACCATTTTTGCTCAAGACTAGTATTTCTGCATTTAAGTCACAGCTCCACTTCAGGATTTTTGGTGATTAATTAGAGATAAGAGTCATGGACTTTTCTGTCCAAGCTGGCTTTAGACTGTGATCCTCAGAGCTTAGCCTCTTGAGTTGCTAGGATTCCAGGTGTTAGCCACTGGTGCCTGGCTGTTCATATTTCTTAATTCATAGCCCACCTCCATTTTTGATTCTTCCAAGATCATTCTTTAGGGATTTGTATGTATATGTTTTGCCCTCTTTCCCCATCTCCAGTTCCATTCATACATCAATGCATATAGCACCCACTCTTGTATTTTTTCGGTCCTGCGGCTTGAACTCTAGGCCTGGGGGCTGTTCCTCAGTTTTTTAGCTCAAGGCTAGCACTCTACCACTTGAGCCTCAGTGCCACTTCCGGCCTTTTCTGTTTATGTGGTGCTGAGGAATCGAACCCAGGGCCTCATGCATGAGAGGCAAGCACTCTACCACTGAGCTGCCTTCCCAACTCACACTCTTGTATTTTTGACATACATAGGTTTTTGGGTTCTGACTTCCAAATGTTTACATTTCTCAGGGTTTTACATTTTATGAATGCACACTTTTGATATCGGTAAGTGGCATTGTGCTCGTATCTCATTCTGTTTATTCCATGGTACAGTAATTTGTGACTGAGTATTCCCTCAAATACTATATTTTTCTTTTGCATTCCCCCAGTACTGTGCACTAAGACTGCTTCTGTCCTTTTGTTATATTTTTATAAGCAACACTGTACATAGTATGTTTTTTCTGTTTGAGAATTGTAAGAATTTCTCTGGGACCAATACCCAAGAGTTAACTTGCTGCTGTGTCTTTTTGTATAGGCTTACTGAGATTCTACATACCACTCTCAAGCCTGGCTACAGAAGTTTACCTTCCCACTACCAGTGCAGGAAAATTAGCATTTTACCTTATGCACATCATTACTGAATATTAACCAGCTTTCTCATTTTTGCCAACTTCATGTGTATAAATTGATCTATAATGTTTTAATATACACTTGTCTGATTACAAAAAAGTTTGCTGTCTTTTCATATACCAATTTAATCATTCAAGTTTTCTTTTCTGGAATTGTATAATTTATTATTTTTACCTATTCTTTATTGGGGTTATTTATCTTCTGATGTATTGACTTCATATTTTAGTGTTTTTAAAAAAACCACACCTTCTCCAAATCTATTACCTGTTATCTCTGGTTTTAGTTTCCTTTATTGAACAAGATGTTTCATTGGTATGGTCAAATCTACCAATTCACACCATTTGTTTGTTTCTTTCGGTATTTTTCCCTTTTGTGAAAAAGAAGTATTCCTACATTGAGGATATAAATGTATTCTATATTATTTTTTCTATTAGTTTTGTAGGTTTGCCCTTTACATTTAGATAATTGGGTTGTATTTTTAGAAACTTATTTTTCTAAATCCATATAACTTAGGTAAATTTCTCAATTCCATTTATTAAATAGTCTATTCCTCCACTGATACCTCATATCAATTTTGACCTACGTTAAGTTACTTATATATTTATGGGTATTTCTTTTTAGATTTTTTCTTTTACTGGTTGTTAGCCAGGCACTGATGACTCACACCTGTTGTAATCCTAGCTAATCAGGAGACTAAGATTTAGTGTCATGGTTCAAAGCCAGTCTGGGCAGGAAAGTCCATGGAACTCTTTAATTAACCACCAAAAAGTTAGAAGTGGAGCTATGGCTCAAGTGGTAGAGTGCAAGTCTTGAACAACCACCACACACAAAAAAAGCTCAGCAACAGCCCCAGAGCCACAAGTTCAAACTCTAGGACTAGCAAACATACACAAAATGTTTGTTTCCTTTCCAAATCTTACTGTACTCTACCATGCATTTAGTTACATGTTTTTATTCTTTCTACATCTGAAACATTCTTTACACATATATTTCTTTTTGCCTTCTAATACATCCTTGTTGAAGACTGTAGGTCATTTGGTTTGTAGAATGTCCTATCTCCTGTATTTGTCCATTTTCTCACATTTAACGTTTATTCCTTTATCCTTTATATTTTCTCTGAACTAGAAATTTGATTTAAAAACAAACATTTGATTGACTGGGCATGGTAGTACATGCTTGTGATCACAGCACTAGCTAAGACAGGAGGATTACAAGCTTGAGGCTAGCCTGAACTACAATAGTGAAACCCTGTTTTTAAAAAATGTTGATTCACTTTAAACTGAACATCTTTGGCAAGATTTTATTTCATAAGTCATTAGGTCATGATGTATAGTTTTTGTTTTTGTTGGTTGTGGGGGCTTGAACTCTGGGCCTGGGTACTGTCCATGAGCTCTTCAGCTCAAGGCTAGTGCTCTACCACTTGAGCCACAGTGCCACTTCTGGTTTTCTGGTGGTTAATTGGAGATAAGAGAGTCTCACAGACTTTCCTACCCAGGCTGGCCTTGAACCATGATCCTCAGATCTCAGCTTCCTGAGTATCTAGGATTATAGGCATGAGCCACTGGCATCCGGCTCATGATGTATAGTTTATATTGCAGCACAACAGTAACATATTGTCTGATTTTTGAGCTATATAATTAATGCTAAGATTGTTTGGTTGTGATTATGACAGTTAGATTTCTTCATCACTGTGATTAGTAAGAAATATCTGAAGTTGATTTTTTTTTTTTTGGGTCCGGTTTTGTGGAGCGTGAACTCTGGACCTGGGCGCTGTCCCTCAGCTCTTCAGCTCAAGGCTAGCGCTCTACCACTTGAGCCACAGCGCCACTTCCGGCTTTTTTCTTTTTGCTTATGTGGTGCTGAGGAATCGAACCCAGGGCCTCATGCATGCAAGGCAAGCACTCTACCACTGAGCCACCTTCCCAGCCCTGAAGTTGATATTTTGATACCATATGAAATACTTTTGTCCATCAGCTTTTGAGCCTAGTACTATTAAAACTCATTGATGATCCTTTTCTAAGTCAGATTATTTAATTAAGAGTTGTAAAACTGGTATTGGAATTCTACCATTTTTTCTGTACTTAATGGCTGAAGTTCTTACATAAAAGAAAGTTTGCCCTCAATAACTAGGTCTATGTAGTTAAGTTACCCTAAATAGGTCATCTATTAGAAAGCAGACTTTTATTTCAACAGAAGTACTACTAGACACAGCTGAAATTTTGCATGTACTTTAAGTTAGTTTAGTATTTATAGTTTATATTACAAATATTTAAAATATAAATATAAGTTAAATTTGCTACTTTTGTATACTATCCATGTTCATTGGTCATCATGGATATAGTTTTAAAATAAATGGACAGTTTTTCCTTTTGCTGTTTTCTAGAATAATTTGTAGAAGCTGTTACTTGTTCCTTAAAAAATTGGTAGAAGTCAACCATACAACTGCCTTAACTATAACTTTTCCCAAGGGACAGAGAACAGGAATTAGTGTTTCATTTTTGTTGTTATAGTTTACTTAAGGTTTCTGTTTCTGTTTCTTCTTTTATCAGTCTTCTCCAAAATACTGAAAAAATTAATGAAGCAAAAAACATGAATTCTTCCTCACATTTTCTTCTAGTCAAGAATTTGGAAGTGGCTTAGCTAAGCTGAGTGGTTTTTCTAGCTCAGAGTCTTTCATAGTCTTGAAGTTGGAAGGCTTATATTGTGATATTTCCACACTGCACAATCTAGTTTTGAATGGGTTTCATACCTTTTATTTCCCCTCCTGTCTCCTATTGGTCCCCCCAAAGAGTTCCTTTTTTACAATCCTGAAGTTTTAGTGTTAAAGAAAGGATTTATGTG